TTGATCATTGTTGGTTTGAAGTTGAGACTGTCTGAGAATAGGATTGCTACCCCTGCTTTTTTCTGAGGTGCTGGGGTGTGTAATATTGTTTTCCATCCTTTGACTTTCAGCCTATGAATGTCTTTATGAGTTAAATCTGTTTCTTGTATACAGCATATTGTTGGATTTTGTTTCCTAATCCACTGTGCCAGTCTATTTCTCTTAGTGAATTGAGTCCATTTGCATTGATGGTTAGAATTGAGATGTATTGACTTACGGTTGACATGTTATTTACCTGTTGTTGTTTACTTCTTTTTCTCCTGTGTTTAATTGCTTGCCCTATTTAGTTGGTTGCTTCTGATCTCATTCGTGGAGTTCTCATCATTTTAGTCCCTCTCTAGAACATCTTTCAGTAGCCTGTGTAGGCCAACCCCGAAACTTTTGTATATCCTACAGTTTAGCTTATAATTTCTAAGCCAACCAGAGAAAATGCCCTGCAAATAATTACCTTACTACCAGTTTATAGAGTTGTTCTTCATAAGATTGTAGAAGACTGTTACAGTTGAGATAGGTGGGCATAAGTTTAAGGCATTGCCAACTTAATTCTAACTTCTTTTTTTATTTTTTTGTAGCCCCAGCTGGCCTCAAACTTGCAGCGATCTTTTTGCCTCAGCCTCCCAAGTGTTGGGATTACAGGCATACACCATTGTGCCTGACCTTCTAAAAAGGCTTTGTACGTTTGATTTGGTGACTGAGGAATTCACATGGAGATTTTTCTGTTCCCTATAGGAACAAGTACCTTTTACTTTAGTTAAGATCAGCTAGAGATGACTTGACCCAAAAGTCTCAACATTGAACAGTAACCTGTATTGGTTTCTTCAGAAAGTGTCTACCTCTCTTCTCTCTTGAGCCGTGAACATTGCCACTGTTGAGGGAAAATATGTTTCACGTATCCCAAATTAAATTGGATGTAAAATTGCACCTAGAAAAGGAAGATTGTTAGGTGTTATACTCTTTATATGCCCCTGGTATAATATTTAGTGACCTCTTCTGGGAGCCTCTGTCAATAAAATTGTTTATATGTGTATTTCTAGGCCTCAAACATATGATTTAGAAGTAAGCTTGACATAGAAAACCCCAGAGATTAGGACCATGTGTCCTAGTTACTTTTCTCATTGTAGAGACAAACTGTTTAACACTCAAAAGAAGATAAGTTTATTTTTGCCTCACAGTTTATAGAGATTTCAGTTGTTGGCTAGCCCCAGGGCAGGATAGCAAGGGGGTAGGGGAATTAAAGAGGAGAAATATTTCCTAGAAGGTAGCAAGGCAAGCAGCTGACCTCTTTCTGTCCCTTATATCCTATCTAGACTACCCCCCTTAGGGCAAGCTGCCCTCACATCCAGGGCAGGACAGTCTTAGTCTTAGCGTGGCACCACGAACCACCCCCATTACACCCTTGATCCCAGCATCACACACCCTACATCCAGCCACCTCCAAAAAGTTCCACCTATAACCGCACGAGGCTTTGGTCATAACACTGCCTTATATTGATCAGTGAAAATAAAATTTAATGTTTATTTAAGCATTTTAAATTGGGTCCAGGTGTGGTAATACATGCTGGTAGTCTCATCACTTGGGAGTTTGAGGCAGGAGGATTGCCACAATCGTGAGGCTACTCTGGACTACATAGTTCAAGGCTAGCCTGAATTACAAAGAGAAACCCTGCCACAAAAAAAAGACATCTTTTTTTTTTTTTTTTTTTTTTTTTTTTTTGTGGCTGACTCAGCCCACCCTGGGGGCAGGGCTGTTGTGGCATGTGGTACCAGGAGTTGAACCTCAGCACCCTTGCCCTTGCCTAAGCTTGTCTAAACGGGTGCTTTAGACCCTGAGCTATCTCTTCGGCCCCCAAAAAAGAAAGCTTACATTGAGCAATAATCAGTAGCTTTATTGCCTAAATTAGACTTTGTCTCTGAAAAAGCACATTTTAATCATTTTATTCACTTGTCAGTTCTGCAAGATTTTTGATCTCCAATTACATATATATGCTAAGCAGTAGTGTAAGTACTATAGGTGAAACTACATAAAATGATGTTCCTAGCTTCAGGGATCTTACATTGTATTGAAAGAATATGTATAAGGTAAAGTAAAAGTTCTACAGACTGTAGAATTATGTTGCAGTGATACAAGTAAAATGTATAGTATATCACTGCTCCTGTGACACAGCAAGCTTATGAAGTGATTGGTGGTATAACATACACTTCAGGAGCATTAGCGTGAGCCAGGTACTATTTTAAGTACCTCGTAAATAGACTAGCTTCTTTAATCTTTGTAAGAACCCCCTAAGGCATGGTTATCAGTGTCCTCATTTATAGAGAAGCTGTGCAGGGTAGAGATTGCATCAACGTTATTTAATGACTTACTATCAGGACTTAGAAGTTTATAGTAGTTTGACCTGAAGCATCCATTCTTTTCACCACTGTACCATCTTAACCTTTTTCTTTCTTTTTTTGTATTTAGTACAGGGTCTGCAGGGTCTTACTACATAGATCGTACTCATAGCGATCCTCCTGTTTTCAGCCTCCCAAGCACTGGGACTATAGGTGCACGCCACTACACCCAGTCTCACTTGCCATCTCAGTGTGCCCCAGGGGCGGGGCTGGCCTGCACCCATGAGAAGAGGATTGAACCCTGGTCCCTTTGGCCTGCTGAGCTATCTGGCTGGCCCCTCATCTTACCTTTTAAAATGGACAGCGTGACAGATTTATATGCTTTATGATGTCCCACAGATCACTTATCTAAAGACTTATTTCTCCAGCAGTTTAGCTTATTTTCCCATCTACCATACTAAAGAAAGAATAGTTGAATAATTAGACCACTTTCTGATTCGGACCCTGAACTAAATAAAATAAAAAATAAATGATATCAAATATCAACTGTTTTATCAGCTTTACTCATCTTTCCCATTACATTTAGTTTTATATAGCCAAAGTTCAAAATACATTATTACAGGGTTATTACAGATCTACCCTGTAATTTCTAAAAAATCAACAGTTCAGTATTAAAATTGATAGTTTCCAGTTTATCTTATTTTTTAAAACTATCCTGAATAGTAAAAGAAAAAAGGAAAGGAGAATAATAAGGTCATGAACTCTGGAAAGGAGAGGATTTCTGTAACATCAAGAGTTATAGGGCCAACGAAATAGCTCAGCGAGCTAAAGCACCTGCTTAGGCAAGCTTAGGCATGTGCTAAGCTTGTGGTTCGATCACAGGCTGTGACTCAATCCCTGACACCACATACCTCACTAGCCCTGTCTCTAGAGTGGGCTGAGCCGGCCACAGAGCCTGGGCATAGGGGCACACGTCTGTAATCCCAACACTGGGAGGCTGAAAACAGGATCACTGTGTAATGAGACCCTGTAACAACCAAATACATTTTTTAAAATAAAGAGTTATATGGGGCAGGGAGAAAACTCAGTGGCATAAGTGCCTGCCTGGCAAGTGCAGGGTCCTGAGTTGGATCCCCGGTACCATGAATACCAAAAAAAGTGTTCTGTGAATTTGTCTGAGGGCTTAGTAATTTGACTTTTCTTATGAGTACATCTGTATTATATAGTGTTTGAAAATATTAATTTGTTGATCTCTTTTTCTTTTATTTTTTAGTATACTGTGTGGAATTTTGTTCCAAAAAATTTATTTGAACAATTCAGAAGAGTGGCAAACTTTTATTTTCTTATTATATTTTTGGTTCAGGTAAGCTTTATGGCCTGGTTGTTTGTAAATGTGGGTTCTAAAAATACATCTTCAAACAGGAAAAGATTACATTGGTTTCTTAATCATTTAACCATGAGACCGTTCTTTTTCTACAAAGTTTTCCTGTTATTGAATAAGTAATTTAAATCACATCTAGATTTCTAAAATATAACCTGTGAATTTTAAGACCAGTTATATTTTCATTACTTGCATACTATAGTGTTGATCATTATAGTCTTAAGACATTTTTCAGATGCCTGCCTTAAAACATAAATATCTTGGTTGTTAATATACAGTGCATGTTGTTAGCAAGCTTGCTTATGGAAAAATAATTTTAAAATTTAAGTTCTATTTTATATGGGAACATTTGTATAAATACTTTGTTTTTCAATCTATATTTTAGGAAGTAGTTATCTGGAAGTAGTGACGCATGCCTTTAGTACCAGCTACTTGGTGAGGAAGGCAGGAGAATTACTTGAGCCCAGGAGTTTGAAACAGCTAGGGCAACACAGCAAGACACTTCTCAAACAAACAAATAAATCAATAAATTATGCTTTAATCTAAAATTTTTTAAATAATTCTAATTCTTAAGCACCCCAGCAAATATGGATTTTTTGTATTAGAGATCCTTTTGTTAACTTAAATCTATGTTCATGGGCTCTGACAGCCTTTCATATTATGCTTTTTCAGTGTATCTATGTATCAAGAGAAAAGCCCATGGAACTTGATTATAAGTCAAAATGTTAAAATAGCAAGTATTTTTAAAAAAATAGCAAGTATTATCTTTTAAGGAAGTAATTCTTTTATGAAAAACCTCAGATATGTTTTTTAGTATGACATTGAATTTTTGTATAAACTCTGAACCTTACAGTAGAAGCAGGGATTTCAAACAGGAAATAAATCAAGTAATTATTTTAAAGTTTGAAAAAAACACTTACTTTTTGAGAACTTGCTTTCTGTCACAAACCGAAGGAGCTTCTGATTTTATGTGAGTGAAGTATCTGCTTGGTTTTTTTGGAAAAGAGAGAAATTGTACCAACCATACTCACAGAGTATGTGTGCATTTGTGAAATTGCTCACTATGATCTGGAATTTAGCATGTCTATGGAACAGAACACATTTAATTAGCCTATCTAAAGTAAAAGAACATTAATAAATCATCAGATCTGGCAGTTTACTCAAAACTTCAGTTGTATGATTTACATTATGATTATAGCATAATTTTCCTAGCGATCTCCCTCTGGCTCTTTTGGAACAAAATCACTTGAAGGGAAAAAAACACTTTTCATATTTCTATTCCTAATTCTTTCCCCGCAGTATAGGTTTATTCTGAATCCTAGGGTAAAATTGCTGACTAAGTTTTTAGCATTTTTCAGGATGTGCAAAGAAATGTGAAATGAGAATTGAGCAGCTGTAACTCCACTCCTTGGAAAGATTAAGGGGAAAATTAAGCACCCTCTGTTGAGAAAGCACACTGACTGATCACTCTGGCATATGTATGGATGTCCAATAAATTCAAATATCCCACCAGTCCCAGATAGTGACCAGCAGAGTAAAATGATGAACTGAGAACTCAGATATACTGCATAATAGTATGAGATTTTAGATATTAATAGCATGACAAATACAATATGAAAATGTAATACTCTGCATTTTTTTAAATCTAGCTTATGATTGATACACCTACCAGTCCGATTACCAGTGGACTTCCATTATTCTTTGTGATAACAGTAACCGCCATAAAGCAGGTATGAATACTTCCTATTGTTGTTTTCTCCTGTTCATTGAAAAAATTGCTAAATATGTCCACTCTAAACTAAAGTGTATTGTTGTAAAGAGAATAATTTCTATAAGAAAACGGCAAGTTTGTTTGATACATCAGAAAATTAAATTAGGATGGCCACTCTTACATTTCAGATAAATGGTGAGTGATGAATGATTACTACTTTGTACTACCTTCACACAGCAAGGAAATACCTATTGCTTTAAGGAAATATCTAAAAACAAGAATTATGCGTACAGGACAATTTACATAGGAAACATTACTATAAGCTACTTTGTGGAATTTGGGGATATATAAAGGAAGTACAGTTCCAAAGATATGTTTATGTGAGACATGTGAGAAATTTTCATTTTGTAAGTAGACGTAGGCTACTTATAGATTAACATGGAAAGAAAATTGACACAAATTTTAAATTTCTGGGGTGAGATACATTCTTTACCACATAGGAAAATGAGGGAAGCCTCTAGGTTAGCAATAATATTTATTATTATTAATATTTATTAACAATAAATAACAAAATGAAAGATGTAGGAGATAGATCTAAGAAGTAGATATAGAGATAAATACAGGATCTTTCTCAGTTGAGAAGGGGATCAAGAGAAGAAGAGAAGAAAAGGGGATGCAGAAAGGAATTGAGATGTGTTAGCTGTATGCACCAAGTCCACACAAGGACTGTAAACATATACTCCACACATATACTGACAGAAATTTTTTTAAAAAATGAAATAGCCATTTTAGGGAGACAAGTTGTAAAAGGTAGTTGTGACTGGAGTTGTAACTGATCCTTCATTTCCATGCAAAACTTTCCTTAATACATACAGTTCTGTTGTATATAAAGTCTGTTCATTTGATTAAAGCAATCATGTTGTTTAAAAAAATTACATTAATCATTTAGTTTGTCAGAGAATATTATGCCACAGCTCTCACTAATTTACTTACTTGGTTCCAGCTGTCATTTATCAGGTCCTTTGGACCTTTTTTCTGTATGTACTGCCTTCCTAGGTAATTTGATCCAGCCAAGTGGTTTAAAGTACTATCTCTACATTATGGTTATTAAAATCTATACATTGATAGTTTCTATCCTGAAACTGTTCTTTGAACTCTACACACATACAAATCTTTGCACATAATTTTCACCTGTACACCTCAAAAGCATCTCAAACAGAACTACTGCTGTTTTACCAGTTAATGCTGCCCTGCTCTCAACTATTCCCCAGTTTATTAATGGCACCACCATCTTTTCACCTCATCCTTTGACTGTTTTTATCTCTACCTTCAAGATGAACCCCATTAGTCTTAAGTCACCAGCCATTACCACTTTCCTGGATGATTGCATTCTTAATAGTCCCTTACTTTTACTCCTCCCTCCCATAACTTCACACTGCAACAAGGTTGATTTCTTAGAATTAGATCATACTACCCTTGTACTTAGAACTGTTCAGTGGTTTCTTCTCAAGCCTTCAAATTATACCTCCTTAGTGATTGACAAAGACACGCACAGTTTAGCCTGGGAGCCTGCATTTCTTACCTACTGTTCTCCAGCCACATTCCTGCTGTTGTCCTAGAACACAGTGGATGTGCTGCTATCTCATAACTGCAGGACTTGCTGTGTGGTTTTCCTGAAAAGGTTTTCTACCAGATCCATAATTGCACAGCTCAGTCCCTGATTTTACTCGGATTCTTAAACTTTGACTGTTTGTGGCCATTGTGCTGTTCTCTCATTGCTTCTAGTCCTTTGATTTAGTCATAACCTCATGTTCCAGTGAATAAACGCATATCTACCTGTCATTTTTATTGAAGTGATTTTTGTGATCTGTGAGGGCAGAACCTTTGTTTTATATAGTACTGGTTTATGTCTAGGAGCCAGAACAAGGCCATACACATGTAGGGGCTTCTGTAATTATTTGCTGAATAAATAAGAGTGAATGAACCTATTGAACATTTTTAAAGCAAAATATTTCTTGCTGTTATCATTCAGTGTGTATGTCCCCAAATATGGTCTGCATTTAATTAGAATGTCATACTATTAACTGAACCTGTGTTAGTATAGCTTTTGCAGTTAAGTACTAAATCAGGATGAGAGGTTCATGATAGCCCAGGTAAAGGGGAACATATGAATGGTGATAGCATTTTCAAGAAGTATATTTAATCTTATGTAAGAATTTTTTCCCTTTCTCAAAATGGTTTCAGGCTCAACATTTTCTCTTTTGCAGCAACGATCCTATGTCTTACTCATTTGATAAACACACAGAGTGCTTCCATATATTGTTCATATTTACATGTGTATCACTATAGATCAGTAGAACAAATTTTAGAAAAATTAATGAAAAATGAGAATTGCTCTCTGTCAGCCTTCCTTTTTTTTCTTTTAGTCTGTCTTTTGCCCTTTGTATTTTACCAAAATAGGAAAGGCTGTATTATCAGTTTTTAACTTTTCCCAACTGTATTTGCAAGTCATGTTTTGCAGTGGAAGATATAGTGTTCTGATAAATAAGAGTCTTTGCCATCTGTGAGCTTAAAATCTATAAGTTAAGAGGGCATGGCCCAAATTAAAAAGTAATTCTATATTGTGGTCAGATATAGTGAATCGTAACTGTTCCGAGAATGAGTGCAACACTTTACCTAGATGATTGGAGAAGTTGCTGTGGAGGAAATATTATAATGTGTGTAGAGATGAGGAGAGTGACAGTTGATGAAGAACACAGGATAGAAGCAAACAACTTGAGCAAAAGCCCAAATTCAAAACAGGTAAAGACCTGTTTTTAGAGTAAATTATTAGACTGGCTAATATTTGAGCCTGCTGAGGAAAATATGAAGACATAATGTTAGAACTGTGGGTTGGTATTAAGTTAAGGAAGTTGGAAAGCTCTGTGCGCTAAGTATTGAATCATTGAGGATTTGGGCAAGATAATGGAAGCAATGTTTTGGGAAGATTGGTCTGGCAGCAGTATGTACAATGAATTAGAATTTCTAAATGTTTTAAAAGATATTATTACTGCTACACTATTAATATAATCAGACGTAAAAGAAACTCTACTTTTTTGACAGTTTCAAAAAGATGGTTTGGACTCTTAAAATTTTTCTAAAACTGACATATTGAAGCTTAAATTGGACCATTATAACAAGTATTTTAAGGGTACTTTCATAAAGGTTTTCCCCTGAAAAGACAACCTTTAATATTTTACTATATAGTATTTCAGTATTTTAAAATAATGGGTACACATTTTTTTTAATGGGGCCAGTGTAAAATAACACATAGTAAAGTCCTTAGAGTCCTAATTTCTAATGCGCTAATTTAATTCACCCCAGAAGGAACACTTATTTGTAAATTAATCCAGATACCTGTCTAAGGTGTTCACAAAAAAAGAGCATATTTTTTTCACAAGTGGTAGTATAGAGTATAACTTACAGTATTTTCTCTTTTTTTTTTTTTTTTTTTTGAGGAGCCAGGGAATGAACTCAGGCCCTTACACTTGCCAGGGAAGTGCTTATTCCACTGAGCTATCTCCCCAGCCCATATTTTCTCTTTATCACTCAATATATCTTAGTTATTATTTCATTATTTGTACTTATATGGGCTCCAAGGCAGGGCAGCATAGCAGAGAGGCATGGCCGGTAGGTTACAGCGAGCCATCAAGGGAGGAGAGCCATAAGCTCTTGAGGCTTTTGGACAATCGTTATATATAAACTACAGCATTCCTTAGCATCAAAGGGTTCTTTGTGAAAGGCTTGTGTCTGGTTCGTTTTCTAATGATGCATTTCCTGTATGTGTATGTATATGTTAGGTATATATTTTTTGATATTGAAGGTTTGAGTTTCCTTTATCTGAAATGATTAGGGCCAGAAAGAAGCATTTCAAATTTCATATTTTTTCTGATTTTGAAATGTTTGTATATACTGTACATAATAAGATATATTAGAGATGCAGCCCAACTTTAAACACAAAAATTATGTTTTATAAATGCTGTATACTTGTACTGATTATAAATTTATTCAGTATTTTTAAATAATTTTATGTATCAGAGAGCCAGGGAGATGGCTCAGTAGAATAAGCGCTTCCCTGGCAAGCGCAAGGACCTCAGTTCAATCCCCAGTTCTGCAAAAAAAAAAAAAACCAAACAAACAAACAAAAAAACTAAAAAACAAACAATTTTATGTATCAGATGTTTTACATTTCAGATCAGATGTAGAATTTTTCAGCTGTGGAATCATCAGTTCTCAAGTTTGAATTTTAGAGTATTTTAAGTTTCACATTTTCAGATTAGATTGTAATTATAATTTTTTTTTTTTAAACTGGGATTTGAACTCAGGCACTGTGCCACTGAGCTATATATATATTATTTTTATTTTTTTTTTCTTTTGGAACTGGGGATTGAACTCAGGCCCTTGCGCTTGCCAGGGACGTGCTTATTCTACTGAGCCATCTCCCCAGCCCCTATAATTCTTGAGAATATAAGAAAGTGAAGAAGCTGACCTAAGATTAAAAATTGTTCTTTTTTTATTTTGTGTAATCATGCTGTATGACTAAAAATCACTTGAGCACTATAATTTAATTTAGTGATTGAATGCAGTTAAGAAAATGCAGGAGTCAAGAATGGCTCTGCACATTTCTGACATGAGCTGCTCAGTAGATGAGGATGTTATAGTCAAGATGAGGAACATGAAAAATGCAAAACTTCAGGAGCAAAATGTTAAATTTAGTTTTAAATATATTTAAGGTATTTATAAGATACCACAATGAAGACGTTAATAAGGCAGTTAGATATTCAAGTTTAGAATCCAGAGGGAATAAGGATTAGAGATCTAAATTTAAGAATTACCAGCATAGTTTTACTTTTTCAATGCCCAGGAATAGAAGATACCTAGTGAGAGTCAAGTGTGAGGAAAATGTCCTCAAGGATTGCTATAGAAGGAAACATTAAAAAAAATAGAAAAATAACTGCAGAGGTCCTATGAAGACCAGTCACATGTATATAGTGAACACCAAGAACAAAGAGAGTTTCTTTTTATTAGTACAGTATAGAATACATAATTGTTACGTTCACTGTGGGGAGTTGGTTTATGTGCATAGCACATCTTCCTTCTTTCTACTTTCCCACCCCTTTCCTGACTTCTCCCTCCATCTCTTGGTTTCTTTCCCATTTGAAAAAGATTTATCTCTTTTTCCTGTTTTCAGTCTTGTATTTTACTCTCTATACTTTGGCTTTCTTGTATAAGAGAAAGCATGTGATATTTAAGCTTTTGCATCTGATTTATTTCAGATGCAGAGAAAAAGAACATCATTGCTGGGAATGTAAACTAGTTCAACATTATGGTCTTACCGTGATGATCTCAGTGTGCATCTGTTTTCCTGCAAGTTACTCAAATTTATCCTTCTTTATAGCAATGTAGTATTTTATTGTGTGGAATACCACATTTTCTTTATCCATTCATCTGTTGATGGACATACAGACCAGACCATTCCAGCACGTAGCTGTTCTGAAGTTGTGCTGCTGTAGATATGAGTACACGAATTTGTCACTGTCAGTGTGTCATTAGAGAGATGCCTAGAAGGGGAATGGTGAAGTCAAATGAATTTCTCTTCTTTTTTTTTTTTTAATTTTCATACTGGTTGTACTAGTTTACATTGCCAGCAATGATGTTCCTTTTCCCTGCAGTCTCACTAGCCTTTGATTTCTTGATAATAGCCATTTTTTCTAGAGTGAGAATCTCAGTGCTGTTTTAATTTGCATTTTTTTAATGACCAGTGAGATTGAACACTTTTATGGCCATTTCAGTTGCCCATTTTTTATTAGGTCTCTAAATTTCAGGATGGGAGTCTTTATTTTTTTTGAGAGATTGTAGACATTAGTCCTCTAAGGAATAGCTGGCAAGCTTTTTTTCCCATTTTGTAAGTTGTTTCTTATTATTGGTTAGTTCTTTTGCTTTTTTTAGTTTTTTATAATCCCTCTTGTTGATTCTTTTTTTTTTTTTTTTTTGTGGAACCCGGGATTGAACTCAGACCCTTGCGCTTGCCAAGGAAACACTTATTCTACTGAGCCATCTCCCCAGCTCCTACTTGCTGATTCTTGATGCTATTTCTTGTACAATTAGAGTTCAGTTCAGAAAGTCCTTGATGCTCTTTTATCACCTTGGAGGTTAAGTGTTTCTGTTTTCATATTTAAATCTTTTATTCATTTTGATTTTAGTTTAGTATATGGTGAGGGATAGGGGCTAGATTCAATTTTCTGTGTATCAATAGCCAGTTTTCCCTGTCAAAAAGATATGAGGCTGAATGTTTGTAGGGTTGTTTCTGCATCTTCTATTCTGTTGATCTACATGTCTGTTGTCTTTTTTTTTCCTACTACCATGCTGTTGTGATCACTGTAACTTTATAATATAACTGGAAATCAGGGTTGTGATTCTTCCTGCTTTGCTTTTGTTACCTAGGATGGTTTTTGGTATTCTGGTATCTTCTGGTTCCACATGAATTTTAGACTTTTTTTTCCCCCACTAGTTTTGTGAGGAATACTGTTGTTTTGCATGAGACCACATTAAATCTAATTATGTAATTTTTCTTGATGCTATAGGGAACGATATTATTTCTCTGTTTCTTTCTTGGCTCCTTATTGGTGTATAGGAACGTTACTGAGTTTTGGATATTGATTTTGTATCCTGCTATCTTGCTGAATTTATTGATTCTAGGGGTCATTTGGTAGAACTTTTTTATCTTGTGGGTAAAAGATGATGTCTACAAATAAAGATTTCAGAGGTGTCGAATCCTTGTGAGCATATGCATCAAAATAGCCTCAGATAATTCTGCTGAACAGAATTTTGGAGAGTTCTTACTCCTTTTTTTCCTCATTTGATAAAAATACCTTTATGCTGAGAAGATTTTTATTTTTCAGGGATATGAAGATTGGTTACGACACAACTCGGATAATGAAGTAAATGGAGCTCCTGTTTATGTTGTTAGAAGTGGTGGCCTTGTGAAAACTAGATCAAAAAACATTCGGGTATGTATCTGGTGAATAAGAAAATTCTATTTTCTATCTTTTTTTTGGGGGGGGGGCAGAACTGGAGAGTGAACACAGGCCCTTGCGCTTGCCAGGGAAGCACTTATTCTACTGAGCCAACTCCCCAGCCCCAGAATCTATTTTGATAAGACACATAATTTTAGTCTTGATTATACTTCAGTTAACCTTTACTTTTTACACTGAAAGACTATAATAGAGCCAGAGCCAGAGGCGTAATTCAGACTTAGCATACTTGAGATCCTGGGTTTGATACCCAGTACTGCAAATACTGATTATTATTACTGTTATTGTTATTTAAGCCATTTATATAGAAATCAGTAAAATGTCTTTGCCTTTTAAAACTGGTGCATTCTTTTCCCCTAAATTCTTCATAGGTGGGTGATATTGTTCGAATAGCCAAAGATGAAATCTTCCCTGCAGACCTGGTGCTTCTCTCCTCAGATCGACTTGATGGTTCATGTCATGTTACAACCGCTAGTTTGGATGGAGAAACAAACCTAAAGGTTTGTTTGTATATCTGAAGCTTGGGTAGTAATATTTTACTTTGGTTGAAAAAAATAAAGTATGACCTGATAAAGGAGACTTTTGAGACAGGGTTTCACTATGCAGTTCAAGCTGGCCTTGAACTCACCTTGTAGCCCAGGCTGGCCTTGAACTCGAAAGAGATGCGCCTGCCTCAGCCTCCCAAATACTAGGATTACAGGCATATGTCACCATGCTCAGTTGAAGGGGAATCAGTGATGTACTGATAAGTACATTAAAAAATTATGATTGATTGATTGTGTGTGTGTGTGTGTGTGTGTGTGTGTGTGGCCAGCTCAGCCCACCCTGGAGGTGGGGCTAGCATGGCATGTGGTGTCAGGGATTGAACCACATTCCCTAGGCTTTGCCTAAGCAGGTACTTTAGACCACTGAGCTATCTCGCCAGCCCCCAAAAATCATAAAATTTTTAGAAGAAAAAATTTTTTTTGTCACTATAGTACAGTTCAGGCTGGCCTGAACTCACTATGTAGTTCAGGCTAGTCCTGGAACTGGTAGTGATCTTCCTGCCTCTTGAATGCTGGGATTATAGGCATGAGCCACCATACCTGGCTATATATTTACGTAGAGAGCAGCTTCACATGTTTTAATCAGTTCAAGTTGAAAATGAAAAGTGTTTTTAAGAAAAATATCTTTTAACATTTTGCATGAGTTCTTTTAGTTAAGGGACAAGATGAAATTTTCCATTTTCAGATTAGAATCAATACTAAAATTTTACTTTTTAATCATTAAATTGTTTTATAATAAACTTTGAGCAGTAGTGAATATACATTGATTTAATTTCCTTTGTGCAAATAGCCTCTGTAGGCAATAATGACAGCAATCTCTTTGCTCTTTATACTCTGGGTTGTTTTGTTTTCTAGCTAAGTGATCTCAAGTATAGTATGTCATGGTGTCATCTGTAAGAAGAGATTTCAAGTAGTAGTTGATAGCTAAAGTCACATTTGGATATAAATTCTGTTTGTTTTTTATTTTCCTCCAGACACATGTTGCAGTTCCAGAAACAGCAGTATTACAAACAGTTGCCAATTTGGACAGTCTTATAGCTGTAATAGAATGCCAGCAGCCAGAAGCAGATTTGTACAGGTGGGTGTGATATTTAGTATATTAATTTTAAACAGACCTATGTTTGTAGCCATGAGTCTGTACTTTTCCATTACCTATTTTTTTAAAACCTAGTGTGCTTACTTTATAGCCGTAGAAGTATATAGATTAGATTATTTCTGTAGAATAATTTTAATGGTTATTTATAAGCCACATAAAGTTGGGATTATGTTTTTGTATTCACCGTCACATAGAAATATTACTTTTAGGACTTTATGATTTATATAGCTTTCAGGATTTCGCATATGTAACACATAATAAAAAAAGTAAATTTTTACATAAATATTATCTTGAAGTCCTATAAGTTCCTTAAGGACAAACACTATTTGTATCTTATCACCTATCACATTAAACACAAAATTAAAAAATATTTTAGAATAATAGATTTATAAAGATCCTATTTAAAAGAGCAGAGAAACCCTTTAACATTAGTTTATTTAAATTGTGAGTCATTCATTGATTCTGCCAGTTACTGTGGACTATGGCATAGAAACAGCTTTTTATTGAAGATGTGAAGAATTAAGCTCATTTTTTACTCAGTAACTGGTAGTAGACTAAATTATAACCACATTGTAAAAGTCCCTGTCAGCTTGTCACAGGGTTGAAATATTTCAAAATGATATTTTTAGTCATTGGCATCTTCAAATCTTTTACATGAGTTTGTTTTGCATTCATACCTTTATACTGGAGCATTTCCTTGCACATTAAAAGTCTTGCATTTTTATTAAAGTCAAATGCAGCATAGAATTTCTCATTTAACTTGGAATCCTATGCTTTAGGAGCATTTGTACTGTAAGGTGTTTTGTTTTTTGTATTTTTTTCATCTTTTTGAGACAGGTACTTGCTATGTAGTTCAGGCTGGCCTTGAGCTCACTTTGTAGCCCAGGCTGGTCCCAAATAGTAATCCTCCTGCCTCAGCCTCGTGAGTTCATGGTCAAGTGCCACCATGCCCAGCACTGTAAGATACATTTACTTGTAAAGAATTCAAATACTTTAACATTTCTATATTGCTGTTATGTCCTGGTCTCAGGCCACTGCAAATTAAAAAAAAATATTAAAAACTAGAAAATGATGCAGAATTAAATAAACAAAATTGATGTGAAATGAAATGTGAGTAATTCTTTGGTCTATGGCTTTTTAAAAAAAATCTTTTTGAGATAGGGTCTCACTCCGCAATTCAGGGTGGCCTTGAGTTCACTTTGTAACCCAGGCTAGTATCGAAGTTGGAATGATCCTCCTGCCTCAGCCTGCTGAGTGCTGGGATTAAGGCATGTGCCACCATGACTGGATCTATGGCTTTTTTGGTTTGTTTTTGTTCTTTGTTTGAGAAAGGATCTCACTATGTAGCACAGGATGGATTTGAATTTGGGGCAATCCTCCTGTTTCTGCTTCCAAAATGCTATATTATAAGTGTACATCACCATGCCCAACTTTGCTTTATGGTTTTAAATTAACTTGGAAAATAGGGGAAATTTTAAAAAAACATTTTTTTTAAATGTAGTTAGTACAGGGTCTTACTACACAGATCGGACTCATAGCAGTTCTCCTGTTTTCACCTTCCCAAGTGCTGGGATTACAGGCCTACCACCACGCTCAGTCTCATGTCTCAGTGCACCTTGAGGGCAGGACTGGCACAGCACACCAAGGATTGAACCCTGTCCCTGCATCTGCCTAAGCAGGTGCTTTAATCCGCTGAGCTATCTGGCTGGCCTTAATTTTTTTATCTTTTTATTTATTTTAGAGTCTGACTCAGCTGTTTCATAGCTATGAAATTTTATAGCAATAATAAAAATTCTATTCTTAGGAATTATCTCAAGACTATGAAAAGATAATATACATGCTAGGGCAAGATTATTTAGACTGTTCATAAATTGGGGGAAACTCTAAACTTCAATAAATTTATACATAATGCAGTATTATATATGGCTACTAAAAGTAGTAATGTAGATATAAGCTTTTGGTAGGGCATGTTAAATGTGGAGAAGAATATTACCAACAATATGTATAACATGATCCTGTTTTTGTTTGTAAGACCTGTACATGTGTACATGGGTGTATGTACAAGTGAAGCCTGAAAAACATACTCCAAAATGCTAGCAGTGTTATATTTAAATGGTTGGGTTATCAGCTGTCATTACTTCCTTTTTTAATGTGTTTTTATATTATCTGAATGTTTTATAAAATATGTGCATGTTTGGCTATTAATACAGTCTTTAAATGAGAAAAGAAAGTAAGTTCTTCCTACTTTGAAAAGTCAAAATTTGGATTTAGAGAAAGGGACAGGTAAAGCACAAATGGGTTCAGTGTGAAACTGGCCGGAACAAATACTAGAAATACTTTAAAATCTTGAGTAAAGGACAGATTAAAAAAAAAAAATCAGATGCTTTGTTGGAGTTTAGCTAAAGGAAACAAAAGTACTTACCACATATCATCTGTGAAAGGTGTTCAGGGAGACATCAGCTGAATTTGTTCTTAGAAACTAAATCCAACTGGATTTACACTGGAGCCAGGGTTACATTAAATTCCATTAAGTAGAGAAAATAAAAACTGTGTTTTTCTCAGAGGAACTAAAGAAAGTAGAAGAGATTAAGAAGAGATAATGAAGCCAGTCTCGAGGGGACAAAGGGTCAGTGACCTGGAAAGAACAGGAATAATGGGGGACATTTGGAAGGGATTGTCTCTACTTTAAAGATTAGTGCAAATCTCTGTCCAGAATTTGCTTCAACTCAGAATTTACTTCTCACACAAGGAGAAAATACTGTTATGTTTGAATTGACTTTACGTAGTGGAGCAGTTAGAACTGAAAGGCCAGTGTGTGAAAATCCATTACGATAACAGACCACTCATTCCAGATTTCAGGCAACCGCAGCAATTTAGATTTGACGGTAAGGGGAAAGGAGTTCAGAAGCTCACAGATAGGTTTTGGCTTGCTACTCTCTCCCTACCACTGTACTTATACATAATAGTTGCTCAATGAATATCTGTTGAATAATTGAATGAGTATTCTAGTGATCTCTAAGGTCACAGGAGACCTTGTTTAATAAATTATACATAATAAAAATGTGGACGTTTTATTGTTGGCTAAATAATATATATATTTTTGTGTAGCAATTATAAATTCTTACACTGACCATAGTAATAATATGTAACATGTTGGCATTTTGAAAATACTTTTTCATTCATTACCTCACTTATAGCTGGAATAGAGATAGCAAGAATATTAAAAATTTTTAAAGCATAAATATTACATACTTATTTTTATAGTTTGTAGCACGACTATTAGACCCTTTATGTGCACAAAAGGTTGTTTTTGTTTCACAAATGGAAACAGTTTTAAATTATCGGGGCCAGCCAGATAGCTCAGTGGATTTTTTTTTTTTTTTTTTTGCCAAGTGTTAGGTTATTATTATTTTTTTTAATATTACTGTTTTTTTTATTCTGCTTCCTCTTTATTTTTTATTTTTTTAAA